CTGAAAATGAAGACGAGATGGCCAGGATAATAAGAATAAGCAACAAGAAACTCATTCTGGAAACGAACCAACGAAGCAAGAACCTATCACCCAACAAATATGCAGAAGGAAGTGGAGATGGATTGGATTGGACATACACTGAGAAGACCGATTGGGGAAATCATGTGCCAGGCCAGGCCAAGCCGTTGAGTGGAACCCGTATGGGAAAGGACGAGTTGGGCGTCCGAGGCGAGGGTGACATGGAGGAGATGGTGTGAGGAAGAGATGAAAGGTTGTGGTCAGTCGTGGCGCCATGTTGAAAAGACTGCAGAGAAGAAAGTGAAATCGCAACGTGCTACTGAGGCCTTATGTTCCACTAGAAACCCAAGGGACAAATAATCATAATGTATATTATAAGAATCTTTAGATGTTTGTAATTTTATCTTCGATTGTATGCTTCAAATCTCATACCAATGAACAACTTACTAGGGTAAGAATGACGCTACTTGCATGAATGATAATGCGCTCAGTTCGGTAGTTGCTAGTCAGTCAATAAAGTTGTTACGGTGAGTTTGTATCAGTATATTTTTTCCTGATATGCTCAATTAAAGCGGACATGCTCACACCACTATTGCAGAAGGTGTGGAAGGAAGAGAAGGTACCTGGCGATTGGATGAAGGGTTACCTTATCAAACTGCCGAAGAAGGGAGACCTCCGTCTTTGCAAGAACTGGCACGGAATCACTCTCCTGTCCACTCACAGCAAGCAAAATATTAAGCCGCATCATCCTGGAGAGGCTGAAGGATGCACTGGATTCAAAACTACGACCGGAACAGGCAGGCTGGATTCAGGAAGTACAAATCATGTGCGGATCAAATTGCAACGCCACTCTACGCATGATCACAGAACAGAGTATAGAATGGCAATCAGCTCGCTACCTCAACTTCATCGACTTTGAGAAGGCCTTTGACAGCGTCGACCGAGAAGTAATTTGGAAACTGCTTCAATACTACGGAGTACTGCAAACCTTTATCCGCCTCATTCAACAACTATATGAAGACGCCACATACCAGCCAAGTAATTCACAATGGGAAGCTCAGTGATGCTTTTGAAGTGGAGTAAAGACAGGAGTGAAACAAGGTTGTCTACTATCCCCCATGATATTCCTGATTGTGGTCAACTAGACTGGATCATGCAGCAGACAACAGTGGGGAGCGAGAAGAGGGGGGTGCGCTAGCTGGACCATGGAAAAGAACCTAGAAGATGTGGATTTCGCCAGTGATGACTTGTGCCTGATGTCACACAAACTTGAAGATCTACAGGGAAAAACTAACAATTTGATAGAAGAGGCAGCGAAGACAGGACTTCATGTGAATATAGAGAAGACAGAGGTGATGAAGATACCCAACCAACAACAATAAACTCCAATCACTATCACCATGAACGGGAGAAACTTAAAGGAAGTTACCTCCTTCACCTATCTAGGAAGCACTGTTTCAACTACAGACAGCACTGACGAGGATGTCAAAGTCAGAATCGGAAAAGCAAGACAGGCGTTCATTAGCCTGAAACCAGTGTGGAGATCTTCTGCACTGCACTCAGCATGTGTAACAGGATGCGGATTTTCAACACCAACGTCAAGTCAGTGCTTGAATGTGATGGTTGAGAGACTTGGTGCGTTACGAAAGGGATTTCCAATAAACTACAGACATTCATCAACAACTGCCTACGCTGGCTCGCTACCGAAGATCAGATGGATTGCCAGAAAGAATAAGCAACAAGGAGCTCTGGGAACGAACCAACCAAGAATCTGTCGCTCAACAAATATGCAGGAGGAAATGGAGATGGATTGGGCATGCACTGAGAAAGTATATATATATATATATATATATATATATATATATATATATACATATACATATATATATATATATATATATATATATATATATATATATATATATATATATATATATATATTAAATTAATCCCCACAAACCTCTAAAAAGAGTCGATTGTTTTCATACTTTCAACTAGCTGTTTCTTGAGTAAATAACAAAGCGAAACGAAGAAAAAATGTCACATTAGATGGAAACCAACTTTCTAGTGGATTATACCTCAGACACTTAGGTTAAATTGTAGATCCTTGTCCTGACTGAATGAATCATGACCACCACCAAATTGAAACTTGTTTTTCTGTTCATTCTTAAATCTAAACCGGATACTAATCCAACATTAAGTGAATGTTTCACATTATTGCTTTTAATATCATTATTATCAACATTAATCAGATGTAATAACGGTTTCATTCGGAAATGGATCCACAAAGCGACCAGGGATAGAATTCAGGACCTTCAAGTTTCACGACGACTACGTTAAGCACTCAGCCACTAGGTTGGAGTTTAATGACCTACAGTCTCCTACTTCTGTCAATTCATGATAAATCCCGATTATTCACCATGGTATAGTCAGGAGCCTACAATGAAGCATGTGTTCCTAATGCCTACTTCTTCTTCAGTGTAGTAGGTACAAAGTTGTATCGAACACGAAGCATGAATAGGAAAAGAAACGGGATAGGTTGAGATAAGTGCAATATCCTTAATTTGTGTTAATTAACATATAAAAGTGGATAGTATTATTACTCCTACTAAACTAATCTTTTTAATGGTAAGATACATGACGCTAGTGTTTTAATGTTAGTTTCGTTGATTCTACTTGTGTTTCTGTTTAGAATGTTATAATCGATTGAAGAGCGAAATCATCTCATGCAGTACTCATTTTTTTATTTTATTTTTCCCTTGGGTTCCTAGTGAAACATAAGGCCTCAGTAGCACGTCTCAATTCCACTCTCTTCTCCCCAGTCTTTTCAACCTGGCGTCACGACTGACCACAACCTTTCATCTCTTCCTCACACCATCTCCTCCATGTCACCCTCGCCTCGGACGCCCAACTCGTCCTTTCCCATACGGGTTCCACTCAACGGCTTGGCCTGGCCTGGCACATGATTTCCCCAATCGGTCTTCTCAGTGTATGTCCAATCCAATCCATCTCCACTTCCTTCTGCATATTTGTTGGGTGATAGGTTCTTGCTTCGTTGGTTCGTTTCCAGAATGAGTTTCTTGTTGCTTATTCTTATTATCCTGGCCATCTCGTCTTCATTTTCAGTATCGAGTTAGCGTATGCGGCAGCTGTTGAAGTGATGTATGTCTGTTGTTTGTTGGAAATGCTTTTCGTGACGCGTCAAGTCTCTCAACCATCACATAGAAGTACTGACTTACTTGACTGAATTAGTGTTGAAAATCTGGATCTTGTTGTTTTTGCTGAGTGCAGTTTATCTCCACACCGATTTCACATTAGTGAAAGCCTGTCTTGCTTTCCCGACCAAGGCTTTCACATCCTGATTGGTGCTTGTTGTTGTTGTTGTTGGTTGGGTATCGTCATCACCTCTGTCTTCTCTACACTCACTTGAAATCCGGTCTACACTGCCCTGCCTCTACTACCAACTTGTTGGTTTTCGACTGTAGATCTTCGAATTTGTACCACAAGACATTAAACATAAATCATCGCAGGCGAAATCCAAATCTTCTTCTAGGGTCAATGCATCGGTTCAACGTATGCTCATCTTCTCGCTCCTCACGGTTTGTCGCATGATCCAGCCCACCAAAATCAAGAATATCGTGGATGATAATAGACAACCTTTTCTTACTCCTGTCTTCACTTCGAAGGCGTCGCTGAGCTTTCCATTGTGGATCACTTGGCATTTGGCCTTTTCATATAGCTGCTGAATGAGATTGATAAAGGTTTTTGGCACTCCGTAGTGTTGAAGCAGCTGTCTGTCAAATCACTTCTCGGTCGACGCTGTCCAAGGCCCTTTCAAAGTTATGTAGTAAGCCACACACAAATTGTATGAGAGCTAATAATACTCGTGACCTATTAGCTTAAAGTCAACTGCTTTAACCAATCACCCATAGCTCCATAAACAGTCACAGCCAAACGTACGTCCTGTTATTCTCTAAATCACGAGTTAAGGAAGATTGAGAATGTTTGACAATATATTCAGCTAAATCGTTAAAATTTAATGCGCTTCCTATAAGTTTCAAGGTGACATTCATCATGGATTGACATGCGTTGGAGTACCATTGAAAACCATGGAGTAAATGACAGTTGTTTCGTCCTTGCACTGGTCTTCTCAACAGTCCCCACTCACGATTAGAGAAGAATTGAACTCGGGATCTTCAAATCTCCTGGTTAGCACACTCTCATTCAGCCACTATTTTGGAATCCGGTGGTTTACACTTTCCTACTTCTATCAACTAGTAATACGGGTCGACTATAGTCGAATATAATGTCAGTCCATGATGAATGGTCCTCCAGAGCCTCCAAACTGAATTGCAGTCCACTGTTCATTGATGATATGTCTCAAGATGTATTTCCCGAAGTCCTGAATGGGAGCTATCACATATGGTGTCAACCAAGTTGGATATGAGAACAAAATACTGATGGCTTAAAAATTCTGTATCGTAATGATAGTAATGACAAACAGTGGGTGGCAGTGGAATCTAGGATGAGCGTTTCGTCCTACTTGAGGCTTATCAGACCTCACTGAGTGGTGATATTATTCCCACTGAGACTCAATCATGACCATTCGCTTCACATTCCAAAGTGTTAACCACTAGGCCACTGAGTCATGATAGTCACCCTTCGACTACACTCACTAGGAGATATTTTCATTCAAACTGAAACAGCAGGCAATATATGGAGATATTCACTCAGGAGCTTATATGCCATTAGGCATCAATCAGTTTACTCCAGTCAATAACAGGAATTTACAAACAATAACATATTGTATCATGTATCTGTGTAGTCTTGTTACTTAGACCTTCAATAGGGTTACTATTTATCTATGTTATTATTTTCTAGCGTTTATGCGTGACTTTAATACAATTTTACTAAATGAGATGAAGTTGACTAAGTAACTTTTTTTTCCTTTATCTTTTCTTTATGTCATAAAACCAATTCAGATATAGAATCTGGCAAATTGATGAATAATCGTAGCAAGATATCAACAATTGTCGATCAAATCAAATGTAACAGTTCCGGTGATTTAATAATTCAATTCGATGTGAATGCTTTACAAACAGATGGTAGTCTTCGAGCAGTTCATCATATTCGTATTCGTATACATGATCTCAATGATAATGGACCAAAATTTGATCAAATACGATGGTATAAACGTTTAAAAGAAGCTATTTATCGAACTGGTCGAAGAATTGATCTACCAAAAGCTAGAGATATTGATATACTTCCTGAACATAGTCGAATTAATTATCGACTTGAAGCATGGAATGATGATACATCTAGTACAATTCATCCTATTAAAAGTCCATTTAAATTAGAAGTAAGAAATTCAGGTCAACCTGGTTTACTACTTACTGAAGATTTGGACGCTGAAATGGAGAATCGACATAGATTTATTTTAGTAGCTTATAGTCCAAATGTAATTGTTTCAAAGAATGCCTTGAATGGTCAATTCATTCCACGTGACGCTCGTTTAGAAATAGATATTGAAGTTGCTGACATGAATGATAATGAACCTAGATTCGCATTTACTGTATACAACATCAGTGTAGCTGAAAACACATCAGTTGGATCTGTTATTTATGAAGTAAGCAATTTTTTGGTACCCTGTAATTTCCTGTTGACTTACTTGACCTCTGTCCTCAAATCGGCTCGTAGGCGGATGTCTCAATATTGTCCCGGTATTCACTGAAGTAAAATCCAAGACGTAGGTTTCGTCCCATTTAGGACTCGTCAGCTGGATGTAGCTGCATCCCCGTGTGACTTGAGCCAAGTACTCATCGCTTCAAATGCCAGAAGGTTATCTACTAGACCATTGAAGCGCAATAACCACCTCTTGTCCAAGGGTTATCAATTGTTGTTTATCGATACCTGAAATTTACCCTTCCCAAATCCGGTCAACACAACAAAGGTGATAACACCAACATGACTTGTCTCACTAGATGTATTCACTTTACAATGATTACATAATATAGGTTGATGTGACACTTAGCTACACTGCAAAACTAACCTTTTATGTTCACATGCTTCTTCCATAATGTCTTAGCTAGATGGATCAGTTACGAAAGAGAGTTTTTATAACTGTTAGTAAGTGCATAAAATCTTATATATTTGCTCCCAGTCTTGCTTGAGAATCCACACACACAGAGAACTTTGAGTGAAGAGGATGATGGTCAACTGACAAAATAACTCCTACCAGATGTTTACATGAATAATTAAGATATGCGTCCACAACAGCTTCAATCAGAAGTTTTAGACCAGTTCACCACGATTTCTCCTAACAATCTTCAAAGTTTCACGCAATACAGCATAGTTATTTTTCAGTAAATGAGAAAAGAATAGAGGGTAACACTAGAGGAGAATAGGCAAGATGCCGGAGTTTATGAAACATAAGAGAAGAGGTTAAGCTTTACCAAATACTCTCAGTTTCCTAATATACTAAGTTAGGTGGAAGATCCTTATGGGAGTTGGAAAAATATAGTTGGACCAGGAAAGGGCAGAAAAAAACACCCCGAAATAACTCACACTTGTAACATTCTCTAGTGAACAACGGTTAATAAAACAGGAATCACGCGAACTAAGCCGTTTACATTGGTTATGTTCAAATCTGAAACTAAAGTTTATAGTCTGACATATTGAAGTATTAATCACCAGATCATTTATGGATAACCACCTCCCAACAGTAGACAAGAAATTGCTTAGCTGAGAAGGATCTGTTGAATAGGATACAGGCATAGAAACCGTTAGGTCATCAGCATATCTGACAAAACTGATGCTAGCGGAAGATGATAATTCATACAGAAAGAAAGAGAAAAGACTGGGGAGAAGAATATCACCTTGAGGAACACTATCCTCAGTAAGCAACCAGAGGAAATGTTTCTCAGTATATCATTTCCCTTCAGAGAAATAGGAATACAGTCAGCCGTTTATCCAGGACTCAGTATATATCCTGGGCAGCTTGTCCAGCAAAAAAGGTCTTGGAACAGAATCAAATACTGAAGTGTAGTCAACTTAGCATTTCTATCAAGATTATAAATAATATTGTAATAAACGACAATAGCGACATCCACAGTGCCTCTTTTGCTTTCATTTGGGAATTAACTAGGGTCTCCAAAAAGGCATTAGCTTCTCCATTGTTTTCAAGAAAGGAAAAGTAACCGCAATTGGACGGAATTTCAAATATGCTCCTGAAGTTACCTACTTAGGTACCAGAATTATCTTTATGTCTTTTCTGTGCTTCCTTAAAACTATCTATACAACATGTTAGTTAGCGGATGGCATAATATATCAGCGCATTTCGTGAATATGGAACTTAATATGTAACCTATCAACATATGAATCTTTTTCTAAGGTGTTTTCTATGTAACGAATACAATTCGCAGCTTTTCAACCAGTTATGTATTTTCAGCAAACGAACTGTGAATACTGAATTTTGAGGGAGTTGTAGAGATTTGAAAATATTCCAAGTTGTTATTCATCGTGAGCTAACAGAAGTTGGAAATATGGAGTATTGGATTGTGACCCAATGGCTAGGTGAATGGTAACGTGCTGGCCTCGGGACCTGAAAGTCACGGGGTCGTGGATGTACACTGCTGAGAAGTCTCATACTAGGAGGAAACAGCTGTCCAGTGCTCCCAGGTTTCCAATGTTCCTCCAACTGATATCAGTCTACGATGAATAACAACTTGGAAGTGTAAATAATTATCAATCTTTGAGTTTTACAAACTCTAATAGATAGTTTGACGATTCACTCTCTTTCACAGGAAGTTTTATCTATTCAAAAACATTAATGGGATTAGTCTAATGGCTTATTAGTGACTATAGGTGTTTAAGTGCTTCGAAATAAGAGTTCACTTTGGTTTATTGTGTAAAATAAAAGTGGAATCAGATCCACAATATTGAGGTACCATGTTTTCGGAAGTAATCTTGTGGAAGAAACCTATTGTATGAATAGTATTCACCAATTTTACACCAATAACGAGATAAATTCAGCTATAAGTTAGTTTTAGTAACCTCTCTGTTTTGAACATTAGGCCTTATTCTCTTTCATATAGTTTTCACCCTGTATTGTGTTACTCATCTGATCTTATTACGCCATTGCAGTCGTCTTACCTTTTCATTGCTACAACAATTGTCTTAAGGAATGAAAGCTATGCAACTGATTTAACTGTGTTAAAAGATGCTTTCGCTTAATTCGTCTTGTGTATCCAAACTATAGTTTACTGTCACGCACGTGTTAACATTAGACCAAATGGTTGATCCTACCTAACTGGTGTTCATTCGATATGTCTGTTCCAACCATTGGTGGGGTCGCGGTAGTCGATGCGAATTGTTGAAGAGTCTCATACCAAGACGAAACAGTACTATAAGATTTTTTAGTTGTTCATCACTTCATGTCAGTCTATGATGAATATCGTCTAAAAGCGCTTGTCAAAGAATCTGCCTTCATAACACAGTCTGAATGTTCATTTTCTAAACCAATCGGATGATTGATTTCAATTCATTAATTTCATTGGTTGACATTACCAAAAATATTCCTTCCTATGAATGAATAACGCATGCCTGGTAAAATAGGCTTTGTTTCACATTATATGCCTTAACAATGGATTTTACGCTTCTACAACTTGAAATGCAAAGTCTGATATGTATAGGATAGGAAAGAGTTATTCCTTGATCTTTCGGTGTGTGTGTGTGATCAACTTTCTTAGTTAATCCAGTTTTCTGTTCGCTAAACTAAGTTCTCATTGGTGTTTGAAGCGACTGGTTGTGAGTTCAAGCATTAATGGGGAAAAAAATTCCCCACTGGGAGGCAAGTATATCTAGCTGATGAATCCTAACTTGGACGAAACGGATATCCTGGATTCCACTACAAGTCACCGCTTAACTCTTTAATCCGACATGTATAATTTCAATAATCTGTAAACACCCCAAAGTTATTATATAGTTGACTTGCTTGTGGCTAGCAGTGGAATTCACGGAGTGTATTTTGTCCGGTGGATACACCTGTCTCCCAGTGAGTGATGTTATTCGTCCTAAGAATCACACCGGGGGCAACCTCCTCAAACATCTACGCTATGTTCTATATTAACATAATTATGTTGATTCCAAATTCATGTTAAAACCTGCATTGATTGGTCACAGGAGAGCAACGAATTTGATGTTATATATTCCTGAGTGTAGATCGAATCCTATCGAACATATTTGCAATGTGGCTACAAAGCAGGGAATCTGGGTGTGGAGCTTCCAGACAACTGTCTCAAACCAACTAACATCTACTAATGTACACCACGATGTTGAGCCTCAAAGCTTGATGGCCACATTGTAAATATGATCGATAAAATTCGGTCTGCACTCAAAACTGAACAGCATCAAATTGGTTGCTATCCTGTGACAAATCAATACATGTAACACAGTCCTACAGAAGGTCGATCACAATAAAGTTGCTGACTACAGCACTGGGTGATGCGGATTCGAATCTCAGGTGGGAAAACAGTCTCATCGACTTGTTGAAGAGTGTCAAAAAGCATGAAACCTAGGTCTAGGACTTCCTGTCGATTGCCTCCAACCAACTCACATAATGTAAAACCATGCCAACAGATTTCAAACAGATGATTTGCAAAGTTGTAAAGTTTACAGACCGTGGTCAGAATATTCAGCATGTGTATCTACATGAGGATCCATCAAAGTCCATTTAAGGTGCAGCACTTTGGATAACTTCTGATCTTGCTGAAGAGGAATGGGTTGTAACCGGTAATTTAACTTTGGTATAAATTCGTCGAACCACGCCTGGTTAACTAGTTCACTAGTTACTACCTGCTCCTAAGCCGGGCTCTTGAATCGACAACCACCTCCATTTGTTCCAGAAATACCACATGCAGCCACAGAACTACCAGTGAATACGAGCCTGGAAGTCGAAGTCCTGAACACCATAAGGCTACTGAAATGCGGGAAAGCAGCGGGACCAGATGGAATCCCGCCAGAAGCACTGAGAACAAACGCAGGGACAACAGCGGACATGCTCACACCACTATTGCAGACGTTCTGGGAGGAAGGAAAGGTACCTGCCTTTTTATTGAGAGAAGGGCTACCTTGTCAAACTCCCAAACTAGGGAAACCTAAGTCTTTGCAAGAACTGGCACGGAATCACTCTCCACTCCTGTCCACACCAAGCAAAATATTAAGTTGCATCATCCTGGAGAGACTAAAGGATGCTCTGGATTCAAAACTACGACCCGAACAGTCTGAATTCAGGAAGAACAAATCATGTAAGGATCAAATTGCAATGCAACGCTACGCATCATCATAGAATAGAGTATAGAATGGCAGTCAACTTTCTACCTCAACTTCACCGACTTTGAGAAGGCCTTTGACAGCGTCGACCGAGAAGTAATTTGGTAACTGTTTCAACACTACAGAATACGTCAAATTCTTATCAATCTCATTCAACAACTATATGAAGATGCCACATGCCAAGTAATTCACAGTGGGAAACTCAGTGATGCCTTTGAAGCGAAGACACGAAGGAGTAAGACAAGGCTGTCTACTATCACCCATGATCTTCCTGATTGTGGTCGACTAGACTGGATC